CGCTCTTGCTCATACTGATCGCTCTTCTCTTCTACATCATGGTTTAGATAGAGATGATGAAACTTGTGTGTGTTCCATGACCATGCAGTTGCATTTATTCGAGACATGACATGACTTGTGTATCACTATTTTCGACATGTGATGATATTTGTGTTGAATGATGATGATGGTATGACGAGACTACTGTATGTGTATGATATGATGAGAATAATGTATGTTTATTATGTTATGATGGAACTATAGTATAGAGCATGCACAAATACGTAGAGGAAAAATAAAAATGTGAAAGCAGCAATATTAGCAGTAGCGCTGGTAGGCGTCTAGCGGCAGCGCTGGTTTAGCAGCAGCGTTTGCTTCGGTGCGGCGCTACAGATAATTAGCAGTAGCGCTGGTTGGAGCAGCGCTATTGCTAACCATACTTACCAATAGCGCTGGTCCGAGCAGCGCTATTGCTACAACTTAGTTGTAGCATGTTAGCAGTAGGTGCTGCCCCCAGCGCTGCTAGTAGGATTTCTCCTAGTAGTGCGACCCTGGCCCAGTGGGACGTGTAGTGCAACCCAAGTTACCAAACACGCCCTTAGCACCCATCATCACCGGCGGACCGAGAAGAGCAAGAACTAGCTTTGTTTGATTAGTCGAAAGGAGGTCCGCCGTCGAGAAGACGTAGAAAAGAAGTCGTCTGCTGCTCTGCATTCACTCAGCACCTTGAAGAGCTAGGAAGTCGCAACCACCGTCGAAGGGCATCCCACTGCCTAGGAACGACAGAGAGAGCCACGGGCCATGCCGAAGGGCAATGATCCTCCGAGACAATCTTGCACCTCCTCTGGGCCACACCACGGCCGCCATCGCAAATAGAGAGAACCAAAGCACTGTGCGAGGCAACCAAACCTCAAACACCGTCGAAGAGCACCAACCACTGAGACCTCACCACTGCCACGAGCCGCTAAAAGGAAAGGTCAACCATCAGCACAGGATGACCAAGGCATTGGTCACCTCCACCGCCACCACCCTACAAACCAACAACCCAAACCAACACTCCAACCCAGACATCAGTAGACCAACTGCGGATCCATGGCTCCTAAAACAATGCCCCAAGGGGGAAAACGACATCAAAGATGGCATCGTCGTCCGATCTACAGAAGGATATGAGGCTTTCACCCATAGCACAGGAAAAATGGCGGGCAACGAGCTCCCCAATGATGCCATCATGAAGGAAAACAGTGCCCGAGGACGTCATCATCATAGTTGCCGACGATGTCAATAGAAGGCATTCACCCGAAGCATCCCAACACGGCCATCTCTGCCACGTCGGCCACCAAGTCCGGCACCGCGACCTTCCCCCTCCTGCCAGTCCCCGGCGAGCATCCTAGCTAGGTCCAGCAAGAGACATGCGCTATCACAGCCACTCACCTCGAGCACCTGCATAGACAGAGACGGTCGGTCTCGGCCGCCACCTACACCCAACCCCTCACCGCCGGCCACAACACTCCACCACATGCCTACCCCACCGACAGTAGCCACCCCGACCTTCCAGCCGGCAATGGAGACTGCCGGGCCGTGTGAGCCACGGCACCAGCGGGATCCAGATCTGGGCGTAGAGAAGCCCCCAGATCAGGCATGCAGCTCACAAGGACATCGCGTCGCCTGAGCCCGCACGCTGTGATGACCCCCAACTCCACCCCGCACCACCCCCCTGGTGTCGGCCACGTGGACCGCCGGCGAAGGAGCAAGATCTGAAACTAGAGCTCCCCGGGACAGAGCAGCGCCAGGCCCCTGCCGACCGAGCCGTCCGCGGCTCCGCACCGCCCGCGCCGCCGCACTGCACACCCACTGCATGGGCATGCCCACATCCTCGCGCGAGCCCCTGTCGCCAGCCGAGCGCCCCGCGCCACCACGCCTGGATGAGAGGAGGGTGAGACATCCCCGTCGCCACCGGCGACACCCTCGGCGGCGGTGGGAGGAGGAGTGGAGGTGGGGTAGGTGGTGGCAGCGGCTAGGGTTTCTTCCGAGCTGCCTGCGGGAGCAATCCGGGAGCCTCTCGCCAGTTGTCTGAATCTTGACTTGATCGAACCCTAGTACCGTTAATTTTATCTTCTCCAAGGGCTAAGGTTTTCAGTTTCGTTTGTTCGTGATAACTGTAGCTGTAGTTAATAGCTACAAATCAGGGATATACTTTCATCTGAAGCTGTTGGAATTGGAACATAGTTACTTAGATGGTTTATGAACTATATTGAAATATAACTACGAAGGTCATCACACAGAATTGGACATGGGGGAGCGGATGAAGAAACTATATTCCCAACCAGAAAAAACAAGAGACCAATAAAATCTTAGCATGCCAACACCTAGATAGAACCAACCAACGCAAATTCTATGCGCAAATAGCAGAACATAAACATTTTTTTGCTTAGCCAAACAAGTAAAACATCACAAAAATCAAAAGAGGAAACACTAATGCATATCATACAGCTCTACTTGTTGCACATCACAAGATATAGTCAACGTACTGCAACCCATGCCAACACGTCCATAAGGGAAGCATGCAACTAGAGACGGTGCTATATATGAAAAAGAGTACAGATCAAACTGAAAGCTGAAGTTGGCATTTTCCAAAACAACAATATCTCTATTTGAATCTTTGTGAAGAAAGATTACTCTTAAGAACGCAACGGGGCACCTTACCGATGACTGCTCAACATTTAATCAGCAGAACATCCATCAATTTGGAGTTGCCAGCCTTATTCCTCCATCAGGCTGGACGTACCGAGCGGGCTTTTCGGCCCGCTCGTGGCCCGTTCGGTCTTGGCCCGCTCGGTCCTGGCTCGCTATAGAAATTGGACGGTCCGGTCTGCCGAATTGGGCCCGAAAAAATATCGGTCCGGTCCGGTCTTTAACCGGGCCGACCGAGTGGACCGAGAAAACACAGCGACAGCTGCCGCCGTTCCTCGTCGTCGCGGCCACCGGCAGCCCTGGGGTGAACCACCATGTCTTCAAGCTTGCCCCACCCTTCCATTCTCACCTCCCAGTTTCGTCCTAGCATCTTGCGCCGCCGCTCCCCATCGCTGTTGTGTGTGCACCGCAGCCGCTCTCGAGTTCTCGACCATGGCATCGACCACAACTGTTGCACCAATTCATGCCATGGCAGCGGTATTTCTTGCCATGTCAGCGCTTTTCGCCGTGGAGACAAAGACAAGTGCCATGGCAGCCACTTCAGCAGAGCAAGCACGCACGTAGGCCACCAATCGGATCGTGGGAGAACGCTCTGACGTGATTTTTGGATCGTGGGAGAAATGCTCGGCCCTGATTTTTGGATCGTGGGAGTAATGGTTTGCCGTGACTTTCTCGTCCAACAGATTAGGCAAATACAGTATTGTTTTGGAAGGCTCTAAATTTGGCGGCGGCTTCCTCTAATCACGCGTCATCGATCCCACGTAGCTGTTCCTTTTATTGAGCCGAACAGAGAATAGAAAGTACGAGAGAAAATGGGATTGATCCAAAAATCATGGCATCATTTGACGACCTTCTCCACGTTAGATTTGATCCGCTAATCAGGGGAAGGCCCGCACAGCGAAAATCATGGGCTCATGCACGCGCAACATTACTTGCATGCAACAGAAAAACTGCTAAGAAGTACATCGTGTGCTGGTTCATGGCTACATCAAAAATCAATCAAACAACAGCCGCGCTGCCCAGCGCACTTCCACAGCACGTCGCCCACCTCGCCGCAGTCCCTTGCACGTCGCCTACCTCGCTGCTGCACCCATGGACGTCGCCGCCGGTGGTTGTTGGCCGGTCCGCTCGGTCCGGCCCGGGCTTTGCAGCCGCCGGTCCGGTCCCTATAAACAAGACCGCCAGGTTCGTCGGTCCGGTCCGGTCCGGACCGCCGGCGGCCGGTCCAAATGCTGGCTCGGTCAGGGACCGGACCGGCCCGGACCGTGTCCACCCTGATTCCTCCATGCAGTGGTAGGCGGGACAACAATGGCACATATGAGAAAAAAGGACTAAACTTATGGTAGTTAGGCTCAATGTGACATACAACTATGCTTTGCTGATGATCCGGACCGTATGCAATCAGTTCATTCTTCCGATGAGCTACAAAGAAGATTATATTAGTATGTGGGTGTACTCCAATGACCTGGAGGTCGAAGCCGAGCAGAAACATCCTCTTTGGATCCACTACAACTGAAGGCTTGTGCAACAATTTCCAATGCATGCATTTGTCATCTAGGTCAGTAACATCCCACTGATAAATCTCAACACCAAGAACATGAACTAATATAGTCGAAAATGCTTTGAAGCTGTGTCCTTCAATGCCGTCGGTGTCAATATATAATAGGTGTCCGGCAGACTTTCCGATGAACCCCGAGAAACTCGGATCAGCAGATCTTGGCAGCGGGACGATTCTCCATTTTAGCCCTTCTGCATCAACTATTGCCAACCCAAACTTCTTTTTTGCCAACCCAAGCTGACGCATGAGCAAGTGCAGACACCCCTTATGGAAAACTCCCGGTTGACGCCAGCAAAAGCCAACTTCGATGCCCCATTGGATTTTCATTGACACCCACGCACCAGTTTTTGATGAGTAGATCTTCACTCCACTCGCAACCCATTGTTCCAGTTCAAACTGGAACACATGAAACTCTCCAGTGGAGACATCACTGTCGAAACCTAGGTAAGGCCGACAGCAGTCGCCAGCGTAGCCAGAGTGAGGCAGCAGAGCGTACTCACCGGTAGCTGGATTGGAGACCATGTAGCGAAAATTTCCAGCAAGGGTGCCCGTGTGAATGCTGATAAGAAACAATCCATCGCATGAATCCTCGAGGGTGCCCGTGTCAGGCGGCAGTGGCAGGCGCGACCACGGGAAGGCAGACACATCCGCGTACTTGACGCCGTCAAAGCCGCGGGGCTCGGCCGTGGCTTCGGCGGTGATGCGGTAGAAGAATCCGGCCAGGGTCTGCGCCATCTTCTTCCGGCGCGCGGGGTCGGCGATGAGGTCGCGCCAGGCCGGGCACACGCACTTGCAGATGCAGAGTGATTTGTAGGGCACACGAGAGAGGATCTCCGCGATTAGGTCGTGGGTGAGCCTGGGCATCGGCTCCTCCATGCCGACCGTCCGCCGCGAGCGCTTCCTATGATTCTCCGACGGGATGGCGGCTGGAATTGGTAGGGTTGCGGCGGGAGATGGCCGGCGGCGGCTGTCTGGCTGCCTTCAGGATTGAGGATTCGGAGCAGGAGATAACCAGTTTTATTAGGGATGGCCGTTTTCAGGTGAAGCTACCTCGTCAACTCTTTTTTTCCCCTAAGCCCTAAATCTGCTTTTATTTCATTTCTTTTACGGGGTAAAGGGAGTTTTATTACAAGGTAATAGAGTTTTTTTTAGGGTTGCAATGTAATAGAGTTATAGTCAAGAGGTCACAAGTCATGATACACGGTGGAACTGAGCCGAACCGGACGCGGCTCCTTTGACGTACTGCCCACACACTAACATGTGGACCCGGACCCACATATTAGTGGCCCAATGTCAGGGGCCGTACGTTAGGGGATCCGGCTCCAGCCCAACCACACAGCTATAGCTAGCTCAGATCGGCTATAGTCGGTCAACCGATCGGCAACTCTATTTTGACCACGACTAATTTTCGTAAAAACTCTAGTACACATTAACTCGTTTTCTAGAACTAACTGGCCATACACCGAGCGGACCAAGACATCATTTGACAGACTAGCCAAAGCTTCAAAAGAATCCGATTGCAGTACCACTGGAAGGTTGGAATGTTAGATAGCCAAGGCCATCCATTGCACGATCGCATGAAGTTCCACTTCCAATCCGTGGACACGGATTCGGAAGGCGGCCATCGAATGTTATCATGTATATGGCCGTCAGTAAAGGGCAATTTGAAATTCAAATATAGTGTGATCCACACAGCATGCCGGATAACACCAGCGCCGGATTGCACGCCCGATCACAACTAAAAAGAGGCAAGTATATGCATCAGTCTGATGGTCCGTGCAAATTTCTGCCCTACCGAAACGGCAGTCCCAGCCATCTGCTCACCAAACAAGGGCGTCCCGCCGCGTAGGCAACCTCTGCATCTGCCTCTGCTTCTGCGTCCGCATCCGCCTTCGCCTCCGCCTCATTGTCCGCCGCTATAAACTCATCTTTTCCGCCGCTGCAACATCTGGTGTGGGAGATATGTGCTTATGTCTTTTGTGTTTACAGGAAGATGATCCGGCATAGGCCATATGATCACAAGGGCGACGGTGGCGCTGTGGAGCGATGGTGGCCCGGCCGGCAAGTCTTTCTCTGATAGCCAAGACCCAGGGTCTTATGATTTTCCATCGAAGACAAATCTAGAAGTTCTAAGGCCACAATGGAAGTTTTGCTCGCGGTCGAAGCAAGCTACCCCCTAAATCAAGAAAGATGAGAAGATCCTCTGGTCTCAAGACTTTTGACCCCCGCAATCACAGTGATTCGCTTCTGCAGCTAGGGCTCAAGGGTTGTTGTGAGAACAATTAATTCTGCATGGGGTTCCTAGCTAGACCTACTTGGCAAGTCAATAATAGTCTAACGAAGTCTATTGCAGTCAAGAAAGTCCAAGCAAAATTTGGGAGATCAGGCAGCCTCTGCTGAATACGTCTTGGGTAACACTGTCCCTGTTAAGTACTCCCTCCGTTCCTAAATATAAGTCTTTGTAAAGATTCCACTATGGATTACATACGGAGCAAAGTGAGTGAATCTACACTCTAAAATGCATCTATATATATTCGTATGTGGTTTATAATGGAATCTCTACAAAGATTTATATTTAGAAACGGAGGGAATAGAACATACTACCAGAACAGATATCAGACTACATAGAAACAAAGCGAGAAAAGCGAAGCGGTGAAAGCTAGTAATTGGTAAGAACTAAGGAAACTGCCGTCCAAAAAAGAACTAAGAAACAAGCAAAGACCTCCCGGTTTTAGACCGCCAAGTGCTAACCAATGTTGTCTGCCGATGCACACCCATCTGATGTCTGAAAGTTGCTAGCATCAAATCTGATGATTCATGGTGACTGAACTGCAGTTTATCTGAATCTGCAAAATTAAGTAACAATACAACATGGAAGAGGATTCCCGCTGCCTCATCGTAAGGCATATGGCTACAGAAAAGCAATAATGATTCTCTAAACGTAACACTTATAAGAACTTCGCATGAATATTGATAACCATTATTTATAAAGAATTAGTGTAGAGCTAACGAAATTCTATCAAGGACGAAGGATATAACTGTAGGTAATTAATTGTAAGAGGGAGTACAACAGTTCAACGGGTATGCAAGGTTTTTAGCAGGCAATGTGCTTCACAATATTCAGTAGAATACACAGTGACAATAAAAGTTACATTGATTAGCTAAAATGCATGCACCCGCCAAAAAAATCATACTATGCCAACAAATTTATCTGCTAGAAAAAAGCTCTATCATAATACACTAAACATGTACTGAAATACTTGGTTCTCTTCTACAACTGAGTGATCAACATGCAGCAAATTACAATATCCATTTGATACTGGTAGAGGCAATGCAACTACTCTGGTTTCGCAAACAGGCAGGATTACGAATCATCAGCATTGACATTTCGCAACCTTTTGAGCTAGCATGATCACAATACATGCTGCACACATATCAGAACCAGAAAAAGATAAGAGATCACGAAAATCTTAGTAATGCAATTGGCCAATGCAGACTGTGGGCGCTCATATCAGAACACAAGCAAACAATTTTTGCTTAGCTAATCAGGTAAGAAATAAAAAAATCAAAATAGATCACACTAAAGTGTCTCATACGGTTCTACTTGTTACACATCCAAACTCCCATAGAACATATACAACAAGTCATACCAAATGTCTCATACCCATTTATATGGCTCAGTTTTGTATGTATTGTTCATATACTAACATAAACAAATCTGGATTAGCCAAAACGGGTACATACCAAAATGTCTCGTACCCATTGATATGGCACAGATTGTATTTTTGGTTCATATACTAACATAAACAAATCTGGCTTAGCCAAAACGGGTACACATCAAAATGTCTCCAACAGCTATATATACTTATTGCGCATCAAAAGGCATAGAGCATACAACGACCCTCACCAACACATCCACGGGAGAAACATCCAGCCAGAGGCAATACTAGTCATGAAAAAGAACACAGATCAAACTGAAACTAAAGGTAGCATTTTCTACGAACAAAATACAGTATCTCCGTTTGAATAATCTTTGTGAAGAGTTCGCTTGAAAACGCAACGGAGCGCCTCGCCCATGGCTTCCCATTTTCAAGCAGCAGAACATTAATCAATTGGGAGTTGCCAGCTGCCGTATTCCTCCGTTCAATGGTAGGCAGGACAAGAGCGGCACATATGGGAAAAAAATGCATAAATCTCTGGTAGTTATGGTCAAGGCGATATACAATTGGTCTTTCATGATGATCCAAATCGTATGCCAAAAGTTCATTGTTTGAATGATGTATGAAGATCAGATTGGCATGTGGGTGTACTCCAATGACTTTGAGGAACGTCTTACCCGGAACCGCATCTGGAAACCTGTACAGTTTCCAGTACATGCATTCGTCATTCTGATGATGACTCGCATCCCAGTTATAGACCTCAGAACTAAGAACGTAGGCCGATAGAGTCAAAGCTCTGCGTGAGACGAACCCTTCGCGATCGCAGGAATCGATATAAAGCAGCCGGCCGGCAGACTTCCCGATGAAACCCGAGAAACCCTTAACGGTGAGTATTGGCAGCAGGACGGTTCTCCATTTTAGCCCTCCTGCATCAACTATCGCCAACCCGGACTCATCTGTGAGCACGTGCAAACATCCCTTATGGAAAACCCCAGTCTGACCAAAGCACAAGCCAACTTGAATGTCCCATTTGGGTTCCATTGCCACCCACGCACCAGTTTTTGAAGAGTAAATCCTCACTCCTGTCACAACCAGGGGGTGTATGCCCTGGCTGTCGGGGGGTAAAATGTCTGTCACAAGCTCGAAGACATGAAACTCTCGAGTGGATACAGCACTGTCGAAACCCAGGTAAGCGCTGCTGATGTTGCCAGAGTAGCCAGAGTGAGGCAGCACAATATACTCACTGGTAGCTGGATTGGAGACCATGTATCGAGAATTTCCAGCAGGGGTGTCTGTGCGAATGCTTGCAAGAAACAGTCCATCGCAGGAATCCTCGAGGGAGCAGAAGCAGTCCGTGCTATCGGGCGGTAGTGGCAGACGCGGGTGGGTCTCAGGGGCGATGGACCAAGGGAAAGCAGACATATCCGCGTACTTGACGCCGTCGAAGCCGCGGGGCTCGGCCGTGGCTTCGTTGTTGATGCGGTAGAAGAAGCCGGCCAGGGTCTGCGCCATCTTCTTCCGGTTGGCGGGGTCGGCGATGATGCCGCGCCAGGCCGGGCAGACGCACTTGCAGATGCAGAGTGATTTGTAGGGCACCCGACAGAGGATCTCCGCGATTAGGTCGTGGGTGAGCCTGGACATCGGCTCCTCCATGCCGGCCGTCCGCCGCGAGCGTTGGCTGCAGTTTTCGGAAGGGATGGGCTGGAATAGGTAGGTTGCAGCGGCGGGGATGGATGCCGGCGGCCGGCGGCGGCGGGGTGCCTTTAGGGTTGGGGACTCGGAGTGGGGAATGAGGTGGTGGGGCAGGTGGGAGGCGTTAATTCAGTGTGTACAATAGAAAGCTGTATATATTTCCATTTTTTTTCTCATTTGATATTCATCAAGTTGCCTCAAACTTGATCTAGGTTAGTCGACTTTGGAAGAAGCACCAAGACAAAGACGGGACACCACGACGAGCACCAACATGAGGCGGAGACGCTAGTGAGGCCTAGCCGGAAGGCCTGGAGCCAAGGAAGATGTGATAGCGATGTCACTGGTAGAAGAGAGTCGGAGGTTGATGGGTTTGGAGGTGCGGGGAGGTTGCTGGCAACGGAGATCGTGTCGGG